CGCGCGATATCGCAATTGGATCTCTCGAGAGCTTACGGGCGATAACCGCGGAAGATAAGGGAAGCGTCTCCACCGCTGCAAGACCGCGGCGCCTTATTTACGCGATATCGGAATCACCTGTTTCCGAGCGTTGGCCCTTATCGATCGTAAATACAGGTGTGTTCTTGGAAGATCAAGTAAAATCGAGAGAGAAGGAGAGGGACAAAAATATTAGGAAGATCGAAAAGAGACAGAAAGAGAAGGAAGGGGGTGGCACGAAAGGAATGCACGCGAATGAGGAAAGCGAAGAAGACACGCTTACGTGAACAAGCCGTGTCCTCGGGTGAGCATTCAGGTTTCGGTCGTTTGGGTGGCTGCCTGCCTGCCCGTGTTACCCGATGCCCCCTTCACCTTCACTGCACATATAAGGGCTGCGAGCCACCAGCCCCCGCGCACGCACCAGCGAAAAAAATGCATACGCATACGATAACGGGGGTGCGTGCCTGAGGGCTATCCTTATGGGGCTTGGGGAGGCCATACAATACTTTAGTAACCCCGTAATGCCTCCCCTTTCACGCAGGCAGGAGGGCAGGCAAGCAAGGCAAGGTGAGGCAAGGTAAGGCAGGCAGATAGAGCCTACGGGGAGTATAAAGTAGCCAACCGCGCTGCGCCTCCTCTCTTTTCTCCACCACGGTGTATACATCGGGATTAAAGGGTTGGCGAGAGGAACGGCGGGATCTCACGTTTGTGTACCAATTTATCAAGCGCCGCCGATATGGAGATGAATGGCTTTTCGCTTTCTTCGCTATCGAGGAATTCGATATCACTTTCACGCATATATCGGAAACGTGACATCGAGTCCAATTCGCGATAAATATGAGTGAAGAGAAACGCGATCAACGACACTCGGCGAGAGATATAGTTTCTATATAAAGAAAATTGCAGTTAAATATTATTTGTTATAAAGAATCTTAAAATTATACTGCTTTATTTTGTATAACTTGTTTAAAGAGAATAATATTAGATAGTTTGGCAAAGAGCAAGTAACAAATTTAGTGAAAAACATTAATTTCTTATATATTATAAAAAAAAGGAAAATAGAATTTTGAAACTCTTTTATTTATATGCATCAAAGAATTGTCTTAAGTCCAAAAAAATTACGGATATTAATTTCATAATAATTTGAAATCATTACAAATCTATATATTCTATGCGTCGAGTCGTTTCACATTTCCGACTTATAGTCGCGTTAGTAGAAACACAGACGTTCGTATAGACGGACGATCGTTTAAAAGTCCGCCTCGTGCGACACTTATGCATTTATCTTTTCGATAAAATGTTTTTATTTGGACAGAAAGTCATGATACTACGTTGCTTATGCACTGATAATTTCAGAGGCCGTGTGCCATCGAACGTGCATTCAAATGCTCGTATGCATATTCGCCACATCGGGATTTATTATCGCGTAAAAGATTCCGGATCTAGAATAAACTACGATCGGATAACGACTAGACGCCACATAATTATCCCGTAATTTCAGCGGAGGGTCTAAAGATCGCATAATCGAGACGCAGAAAGAGAGAAAGAGAGAGAGAGTGAGAGAAAGAGAAGGGGACAAGGACAGGGGCTGAATGGGGTGAGCAAACGAGCGGAGGTTCCGCACGAAGCGTATACGAATCACCGCGCTGCCGGCAATTAAAAACAGCGGCCGCGGGCGGCGACGACCGGCGGGCCCTTTTCGGACGAAGGTAGCAATCGCTTTCGTGCACCGACTGGAATTCCCTTTCGCAGCCCTGCACCGCCCTGCGGGACGGGACGGGGCGCAGGGAGCGGCGGCGCCAGAAAGCGGGGTGCATAAATCGCGCGGGTACCGAAATTCGAATATTCGGGATATCCCCAGCTACTCTCTTCATCGGCGCGGACGAGGAGAGAGAGCTCGCTGCAACTCCTCGGTGCAGTCAAACCGAGACACACGTAACACACGCGTGTAAATACACACACACACGCGCGCGTGCGTACGTACGCGCGTATATTACTCCTACCGTCTCGGCCCTCCTATTTATAACGCGAAATTCCCGGAAGGTGAAGGCAGATAGCATCGAACACCACCGACATGTATACGAAAGAGGACCTACCCATAATTTTCCCCCGATTCGTAGGCTGTCGACCACCGACCACACCGGCTGCACGCACATCCGCATTCGATCAAGCCGCGCGCACTCCGCGCGAACTTCGCTCTCCTCCTCTTTCTTCATTTCGCTGCCTCTCACTTTTCCTCGCACCCTTCGCCAGCGCTTTTAATCTCCCCCCCCCCTCCTCGTGTGCACGCGGATGAGTTCGAATTTTTCGACTGTCTATCTTTTTCTTCGCCGAAACGCGCTTTAAATATTTGCTCTTCATTTGAAAAGAGATCGATTCCTCTTTTAATAATTTCCTTTAACTAAGGAATAGTGATTAATTGGCGCATCATTTTGACGCTTACGAATTGTCAGAATAAATGAGTTACAATTATTTATCTTCATTAATGTGTTGTAATGAGATGATAAAGGCAAATTCGATGATCGCTGGTTTTCTCACCCTGTTAAAAGCTGCGAGAAATTTATAACACAAAATTGTTAAATTGATATGGATTTATTTTAAAAGTTACGAGTTTATTAACAACCATTAAATACTCATTTTAATGCAGCTCAAAGACGTCTTTTTTCATTTTTTTTTAATTTTTGTTTGCTATTACGTTTGTAAAAAAAAAAAATATATAAAATATAAAAGCTTTCAGCATTTCTAAAATCAGTTTTAAGAGAAACGAAAGATTTAAAAATTAATGTGGATTTATCAAAAATTAAATCTCATAATATATATGATAACTCGTGTGTAATTTTCCATACGAAGTGAGATTCAATGGGCTTCCTTAGATTTCCCTATCCCTTACAAAACAGCGCCCTGGTGTAGTCCGAGACGACGCGAAATCGGTAATCGGCCGCGGGAATTCTGGGAAGATAATAATATTTGGCCCGATGGCAATCAACCGTCCAGACGGCGGCCAGACAAGACAATGATAGATCAATCTTGCGAGTCTCGCACGCTCGGATGCGCGTCACGTCAACCCGTTCACCCGCTTCGCGACCTCACGATCGTGTTTGCCGACGTCGGGCTGGCTGACGACTTTAGGAAAGAGTCACCGACGGCCGCGGTACACGACCGTGACCAATTTACAAACGGCAGCCGTCGTTTCTTCGGCGGTGGTAAGCGCGTGTCTTCCTTCCAAGCCAAGTCAGTAGCCCCGGATCGGTCGGCAGGTCAACGGTAACGAGAGAGGCAGACGTTAGCCGCGAACACAGGAAGTGGTCCTGATGACGATGACTCGGGCTCATCGGTTGGATTTTCTGGCGATTGTTACGGCGCCATCTCGCCATGATAAAGGGATGTCGTCGAAAGGGATTCGAGATTCGATATGTGATGAGGGAATTATATTTTCTTGTAACGTAAATAATTCAATTATTTTTGGAAAGGATTCGTTCCAAAATTTATCTATTTTAAAACTAAAATTTATATTTTTTTAAAAACATTCGATTGCATATTTGATTGTCACTTCTTTGTATCAATAACTGCTTTAATACAGTTAATTTTTTCTGCATACTATTGTATGTGTGTGTTTGTGTGTGTGTGTGTGTGTGTGTGTGTGTGTCTAATAAAATAAAATAACGATATATTGTACATATAATGTAAATATATTTTTATTCAACATTTTAAATAAAACTCGTTCTAGAAGAACTGATTCAATAAAGAAAAATAATTAATATTATTTTAGTTATATGATAATGGCTTCTCGATAATGGAATTACTTCCGGATCGTGGTGAAGAAATCCTAAACCAATAGTGATACAAATTGTTTCATTAATTCTCCGATTGCAAAGATTGGATCTTAGATCTGTAAATACTGTGATTATTCTTTTGTTGTAATTTAAAAATTAAGAGAAATATATATTTTTAATAACAATTATAAAAGATAATAATAATATAATTATTATTTATTTCTCAAAACAACGCGTATTTTACTTGAATTAAGTGGTAACAATTTAAAATATTTGTGAGTGACAATGTTTCTAATGCAATTAAAAGTAACAAAATAATTTATTTTTTAATTAATCTAAGTATATTTCTTTTATACGAGTTTCATTCATCTTATTGGCTTTTAATCTAGCTGCAATGCTCATCGAGAGGGCGTTAGCAAACAGAGCGTTTCTCAAGCTAGGCGAAACTCTGCGTGACTCATTGTCAATCAAATAATCTATTATAAAAAACAAAAATTATTTTGTTTATATTTTGGAAACATCGAATATAGTCGATTAATTTTTTTATTTTTTACTGCAGTTATTAAATATAAAATAAATTTTTTTTTTGCACAAATTATTTAATCAGACGAATAATTATTTTATTATAAAATTATAATATACAATAACTTCTAACAGAGTATGATTAGAGTTAAATCGTCATATACCTTGAGCTCAAGAAATTTTCTATTTAATAGTTTTTTATAGTTAATTAACAGAGGTACAACAAGAGCTTGTTATATGTAATTATGCAACCTAATTATATTGAAACGATCGTTTAACGAACAAAAGAAGAAGTCACCAAGTCTTTGAAGAGAAAAAAGAAGCAAATACGATTTGCCATGTCTAGAAGACTACAATATTAAACAAAAACAGAAATATATTTATAAATTTTTATTTTCTTTAAATAACAAATATTTGTTAATTGTGATATATTTCTACTAAAGTCTAATCAAGTTTAATATTATCGAGTAGTATCGAATTTCAAATAGAGAAACCGACATCGATAAGAACAATAGTACCTCGTCGGTGATATCGATTGCTCGAATTTCAAAAATGTCGGAAGGAAAATCGATCTTTAGTTCAGAAAAGATTCGAATGTCGGGTTAGTCGATTAGTCGAGGGAAATCGAATCCTGCTTATTCCTGATGACGAGCAATCTTGTCAGCAGAACCAGTTGTAAAGGTTAGATGATATCATAAAACACACATGTATAACATACACGCGCAATATCCAAAATATAAACGACTTGAAAAGTAAATAGTGGTCGTCGCGTCCGTCACATGATGTAAGTGTCAATGGAAGCGTTAAATTTATTTTACATCTGTTAATTTATTATTACATCTTATTTTAACACAATGCAGTCAGTTATTTCGAAAATTATAAATTGTAAAAATGTTTACAAATTTAAATTACTCTCGCATGATGTGTTTCTCGCTTTTTATGCGTTGTATGTGCAAATCACACTCTCGGCACGAATAAATTTAAAAATTACATCAATTAACTTGTATTATTTTTGTATGTAATAAAACTGATTTATTTTTGTTTTATAAATAACCACACAACATAATTTTGTTGGAATAATTTTCGTGGAATATTTTGTGTTAATGTGTAAGGCATTATTTATTTCAATTTGTTAAGTATTATTTCTAGCTAAAATGGGATGACATTTTAAGTGCGATATGAATTTTAAGTATCTCTTTGTACTTTTAGCAGCATAACGATATTTCTTTATAAGAAGAAGGGGATATTTACTATGGTTAACATATTACATTAATTTCAGAAGATAAATTTTTGGAATCCCGCAGAACAAATTATTTGTGTGCGTGACGTTATGTGGAACGAAGACCTGACTACCATTATTCTATCCACATTATCTGCCATGATTTTCTTTATATTCACGATAAATTTCTTCCGACACCTCGTAGGTAATCCTCACATTCAGATTAGAGATGTTACAAAGGAGCATAGTTGGAAGGCAATTAGCGGAACAACCAAGGTACTTTTAAGAATTTACAAGACTATTCTAATAGACCATCTTTTACTTTCTTTATAAAATAAAAGCTCCGGTATTTCTGAGTAAGTTATCTCTTTTAAAATATGTATTCTCTTCCTACTTTTAAATTTGCGCGAAATAATTGTAAAAAGACACTGATAAAATACTGAAAGTTGCTTATATTAATGCACGATGTATCATGTAGATTGAATTTATCAGAGCATCGAATATAAGAAAAAATAATAGCAATAAAAATAACAAAATTCTTCTTTATATACAGGCGTATTACTGCAATATTTGTGAAGCTCTACTATTGAACCTTGATGCCCTTTTCTGTGACTCCTGTGGCGTGTGCGCGGATCGAGGTTGCATAAAGCTTGCCAATAAGCAGCTAAAATGCAAGGCTGTAACTCTCGATAATGATCAATTGATGAAGCATCATTGGATCAAAGGTATATTAACAGTCTGTAATTACTATGTGCATTGCCTTCAATGTGCCACTCTTTACACAACTTTTGTTATGCTTAAAGGTAACCTGCCACTTGTCGCCATGTGTTACATCTGTGAAGAAGAGTGCGACGTAGAACCCGGCCTCGCGGATTGGTGGTGTTGCTGGTGTCAGAGATGTGTTCATGAAACATGTAAAGCTTCTCTCTCTGAAGTAATAATTAATGATATTTTTTATATATAATTTTTTATAATTATTCTTGCTATTCATTTTGACTCGCTGAAAATTTTCGCTGAATATATAAATAATCGTGTGCCTTGTCATTTAATAATAAATTTAGTAATTTCTTAAAATTATGCATTATAACTCTTCATAGTCAACAAGAGTAGCATTTTTTAAAGTGCAGTAAAGCGAGTGTTTGGTTGCATTGTACGGTTCTTTTTACTTCATTCCGAGAAAGTGAAACAAATTGTGCATATTTCTTTTTCAGATATGTGATTTTGGAAAGTTCAAATTAATGATCATTCCACCAGGAAGCTTAGAAATAATAAATCGACGTAGGACAATGAGACGTAGATTACATCTTCGTTCTGTTACATCGCCAAACTGGCCCAATTGGAATCCGATCATTGTTGTAGGTAAGAGAATAGGAAACAGCAATAAATATTGCTCGAAAAACATAAAAGAAATGATACCTGGATGGATAAATCTTTTTTCTAATAATTCTCTCTTTTTCGCAGGAAATGGGAAATCGGGAAACAATGATGGGGGCAAAATTTTGTCACTGTTCAGAAGATTGTTGAATCCTGCGCAAGTGGTGGATCTAGCAGACCGTGATCCAGTCGCTGCCCTCGAATGGTGCCGTTTGCTGGGGAAAACCCCGTCGACCATACTCGTAGCCGGCGGCGATGGGACCGTCGCTTGGTTATTAAACACCATCAACAAACTCGAGTTGGAGGTGAATCCTTTTTTAATACGGAACCTTTAGACGCGCATAAGCACGAATACAAACAAATATTTTTACACGGCACAGCCTGTTCCATCTGTAGCAATAATTCCTTTGGGGACAGGCAACGATTTGTCCAGAGTATTAGGATGGGGAAAGGAACACGACTCGGATTTGGATCCCATGGAATTGTTGCGAAAAGTTCAAGCAGCGGAAAAAGTCAAGCTCGACAGGTACATGATGAAAAATAAAAAAATTGGTATATCTTAAATATTATCAATCGAATCAAATAATCTACATACAGCTTGTGAGATTCACGTAGGTGGTCCGTGACGATAAAACCACACGGCGGATTAGGATTCAGAGGATCGTATCGCACCTTATTCATGTACAATTACATAAGCGTGGGCGTGGACGCACAAGTGACTTTGGATTTTCATCGCACAAGGGAGAGTCGATTTTATCTGTTCAGTCATAGAATATTTAACAAGGTATGTCTTTGTCAAGTAAACGCGTAAACAAATTTATATACAAGTTGTAAAATTTGTACGTTTTGTATGCGTTGGTTAGCTGTTGTACCTGTGCTTTGGCACGCAGCAAGTTGTGGAAAGGGAGTGCAAGGATCTCGATAGATGTTTAGAAGTCTATTTAGACGACAAGAAGATAGAACTGCCTTCTATCGAGAGCGTAGTGATACTTAACATTCCATCTTGGGCTGCCGGTGTCGATCTATGGAAAATGGGAATGGAAGGTTAATATTCTTATTATTCTTAATAATATTTAAATTTAGTATAATACTGATTATCCCCCGTTGTTTGACAGACGACGAAGGTTCGGAAGTGCAAAGTATTAACGATGGCAAATTGGAAGTGATAGCGCTTTATTCTTCATTCCATATGGCTCAGCTTCAAATAGGCCTCTCGAAACCACATCGGATTGGCCAAGCTAATACCGTAAAGGTATTTGTTTCAACGATTCTAAAGACTTTTTTTGCGTCTACAGTTGTACACGATAAATATCGTTATTGTTTAGATAAAATTATCGCGGTCGTGCGCTATGCAAGTTGATGGTGAGCCCTGGTATCAACATCCATGCGAATTCAGCATAACATACTGTAATCAGGCTTCGATGTTGATGAGTAGCGACTTTTAAATATATGCTGCCTCATAAGCATTTGCACAAATGCATTTATTCAGACGTTACTGTGCGAGTACCAGCTAATATTTGTCAAATCTGTTAACAACTTAGCTCCTTGACAACGGCGATTAAAATATTGGAGTGTGCAAGAAGAAGAAATGGAGAACTCTAGTCAATGTTATTCCACACAAGAAAATGTATGTTATATATATCTTTTATGGATTATAGCTGTTTCGTAATTCTATATTTGTTGATGCTTATTTATAATAAAAATATATACAAACAAAATAAAATTATATATATAAATAAAGATATTTTAATGTTTACGAAAATCTTTCTTGGACGATTTATTTAAAATAATATTTTGTGTTTATTTCTGTCCTTTCTCTTTAATTAATGGCTTTTAAATTTCTGTCAATTATGCGCAATTCATTAGCAACTAATTTCAGATAATTTAGAAATTCATTTGTTGCGAAATTTCAGTCGAAATTGTAATTTATAAATTACATGATTTTGAAATAATAAAAAAGAATAATGTGAACAGAAGATTCCAGCATTCCTTTTTAATGATGAAAGAAGATAACAGGAAATTAATTTTATTAAATCATGACAGAACGCCAAATGTATTTCTTATTGATCTTGACGACCGTTTGGGTTTTGCACGAGATGGCTAGAGCGATGAAGAATATTGATTAAGATATATTAAAAATTAGAAAAATCAAACAAATTACGGTGAAAAAATCATTCTTTGATTGCATAAAATAATATGTATTAAAAGTTTATATCCGAAAAAAAAACCAGAAAGACTATTCGTAAGTATTATACATATTAAAATCACGAAAAATAATTTATTAAAGAACAATTATTATTACACACACAATTTATAAATTGTAGAAATAATTCAGAAATGTATGTACTTGTAAATGATAAATTGCAAACTAGTATGTTAATATCTTTTAACATAATAATTATTAAATCCGTTTTTCTATAAAATATATTCAGAAGGCTTCCTTCCTAAAGCAGAATCCAAATTGATCGCATTTGTATCGAAGGATCCTGGCGAGTTGTGGCGGTCCGCAATAAAAGACCGTAATTTTTCCTTTCTTCTTATCCTGGAGCTGCTTGAACACCTTGTCCCAATTGGGACGGCCCGCATTCGTTCTGGTTTTCAAACCCGTGATGAGATCTCGTTTTTCCTAATCGACGAAAAGTAACGACAACAAAAATTAGTTATAAATATTAATGTGCCAAATTTTTTATCGTTTATTTAAATTCTACTAGCGTAAACTTGAAAACTGATCGCGCAATTGAAAATATTTAAATAATTATATGTGACTATAAAGATATCTCTGACCTTTTCATGCAGGAGATCCAGCGCTAATTGCAAGCCAACTGCCTTCATATCGCTTTTTTGCAATGCACTTGTGATGTACATATGCATCTCCAGAAAGTGTTCCATGGTGGTACCTAGCTCAGCCTGTTCTATTTCAAGTTGAGACAGTAAGTTTACGAACCACTCAAACGAACGTTGATTGCGGTTAATCCAAAAGAAGTCCACCTATGAAATATTCTTCGTTAAATTAAAAAATTAAATGTAATAAATATAGCATACAGCAAATATCTTCTATAATGTATCTTGTACTTTAAATTTATTGTAAATTGAAACTTGTTTTACATACATATCGGACCGTATTCATGATCCGTTCTTATTTTAAGACCGTCTTAATGTCTTAAGATGCTAATATGGCTCTGTGATTGGTTTACAACATCTTAAGATTGTACTTCAGACAATCTTATATAAGAACAAACTACGAATACCGGCCATTGATACAAAATTACACTACGCATTAATATTCTTCTCTGCTACGAGCTTGAAACTTTTAATATTGATACGAACATTATCGAGTAGCAGTAACTCACACGAATCTATTTACCTTTCGCAAATTCATTACGGTAGGCGGAATTTCGCTGGACCAGGAGAACGAGCATTTTGGACAGGTGTGTCTCGCTTTCCAATATCGATGCATAATCGATTGCAGTATAGAGGCGAAGGGTGTAACTCCGATACCAGTGGCGATCAGAACAGCGTGCTGCGCTCGGAAAATGTGACTCGACGGTGCTCCGTAAGGACCGTCTAAAAAGATCTACAATGACGACACACGGTTATTCACTCGCAACAATTGAGTGATAACTGAAGGGATCTTGAGAACGTCGTAAAAACGTTGCAAATAAAGACTGTTAGAAGATTTACCTCCAATGGTTTTCCTACAGGATAATTTATAGGCGGTTGAGAAGAACTATTGGATTTCAAATCTAAATTATCTGAGCTATCTACACCCGCTTCGCTAAACCCTTGCCTCAATCTTCCTTCCTCCGCCGCAATTTGCATTGCTATCGGTGTAATCGGCGTCACTTCATTTCCCTCCGCATTTGCGTTTGACACTGCAAACAGTATGACAAATAAAAGCTTCATGCAAAATATAACTTTATATTTTTTTCAAGTAATTACTTTCTATAATTTATAAATGTAATCAGTTACCTTAAACGATTTTTTACAAATATAATTATATCACAATGTCGCTGTAATATTATCGTACTATCTTATAAAAAGATTTTCTCTCTTTCTCTTTATAAGATATATTTCCAAATAAATGTTATCTTTTATCCCGTAATAACTTACCAACGTTGGACGACGCGCTAATCTCGTAATCGCCCGTTTCGAAACTGGGTGTTTTGAAAGCGATGATGGTTGGCTTCATCCGCATGTACCGGAAGCTTTGAGCTAATGATTTGTTCTGCGGACTCAAGTAAGCTAAGCCCAACGATTTGAATCGCGCGCATTTCATCTGACACTCGTCGAAACTCCTCTCCGATTCAGATCTCATGTAATCTCGAAGTCTACGAAATGAGAACATCACACACATTACGTACACACATATAAAATATTTTATTACGAAGATTATTATAATTATTATATCGATATTATATTGTTAATAAAATGTTCAGAGACTTAATTATAAGATAAAACGCGAAAAGAAAGAATGGAGGCTAATTTTTTGAAAACAAATACGTGTTATTATGTAATATTAATTCGCTCACGCCTTGAGTCGTTCTTTCTTCTTGCTTTTGATATGCATATCGGGCATCGAGCGTGATTTTTCAAGTGGCATTTTGCTACCAAGAAAGAATTGATGGAGTCTCCCGTCTCTTCTCGCAGCCACATCTGCCCATTCCTTATTTAACTCTGGCGTATCTATTAGACGAGTTTGTATAAAAATTTATCATAAATAATAACGTGAGATTTTGCGATTAATACGAGCTTCGATCTATTATTCTTTTGATTTTTCACAAGGATTAAATATTTTTTGTATAATAATATATTTCATTTAATCTTACGTTCTGTAGTTTTTAAATATGCAGACTGATTATTAGACGCATGTGAAGGTGGCACGCTATTCGATAAATCAGATACGAACGAAGGGTTGTCCAGGCTGTGAGGCACGGATTCCATTGAGGTTTTCTGCGTCACGATAAGAGGTGTCTTTTTGCCACTGAGAAAACTACACAGAGAGAAATATTAACATGCACAGAGGAAAAAAATGATGTTGTATCAACAGCATTAGTCTAATTGGAAATAATCTTGTTAATTCAATAACAGTATTAGTGAAACAATACTTATTTTATTAAAACAAAAGCGTGACGTATTGAATTAACAAGATTATTTCCAATTAGAGTTTAGGCTAATACAACATCTTTTTTTTCCGTGTATAAGGATTAACCTTCGGTTAAAAGTGTCATAACTTAATGTTAGAAATTATATATACTTCGAATTTTTATGAACATTACAGAATTACTTTTTATGTCTTTATACAAATATTTAATTGAATCACGATGAGCTTACGATTTCTTTCGGGGAGCACAGGCAGCATCGCAGTTCTCGGTAGGCGAAATATCGGCACAGTGAAGTTTTATTTGTTCTTTCTCAAAGTACGAGTACAAACTATTGGTCCATTCACCGACCGCACGAATGTGCAGCCACATATAATCTGTACAGAAATAATATATTAATTTTGGAAAAATATGTAAATATATAAATGCAGTAATAAAAGATGACATCACAATCAAAAGACAAAAATTTAACAGCCTTACCTTCTTGTTCGGGAGCACTGCTAATAGTGAAAGGATGCCATTCGTATCTCGCTATTACTGGGATTTTAACGAATATATAATCGCCGGGATGAAAGTGGAAGTGTGGTGGTCTCTTGATGACCAAGTGAGTCACTTTCGACGGCAAAAGGAGGCCGGAACTTATGTACGTTTTTCCACCCTGAGCCCGTAACCACAGCAATCGACGAATCTTTTCCACTAAGTATATGACGCCCGGGACGACGAACCACTTCCAGAAGTTAGGGCCATGGAAGATCATCAGAATCCAGAACGGTATGTACAGCAGATGGGACCAATAGAATATCTTGCGACAAAGAATTATTCCAATTAAAGGGACTTGCAATAAAAATATTGCTCTCAGACATCTTGAGAATCATAAAGACTAATCCTTAAATTGACAAATAAATGGAACTAATGGATGTAATATACTGTAAAAAAATATTTATACCTCGAAACAACCTCCACGTCGTACAAACGGCAACGAACAAACGCTCATAATGACGAGAATAATAAGTAGAACTACCCCAGTCGGATATGCACTGCCTGCCACCAGACCGTATTTTCCGGGTCGACTCGTTAACAACCATTCAGACATGGTGTAGTTGCCGCTATTCATTTCCTCGTCTTTTATTATTACCGTACCTACAAGTATATATTTAGATATCGTTAATTACAATTTTAATTTAATTCGATATACGATAAAAATATTAAATTAAATTAAGATAATAAAAATCATTTAACACGGTCTTCATTAGAATTTTAGCAAAAGATTTTTAACACTTTAAGTGTTGTGCTAAAATAACGTAACTTTATAGTAAAATGGAAAAGTTATTAAATATACCGCAGTAAATAAGATGCATCAGAGTGTGTACAATGCTGAAGATTCCGATCAATATTCCCGTCATTTTATGAAGATATATGTGATGATCTAGGGGCACTACGGAATTAAAGCTGTGCGTTCGCAAAAACGTAATGCACTGGCGCAGCATCAAGACCAGGATGAACGTGCAGTCAAAGTTCAAACATTGTCCTAAAATGCATTTTCAAAATAAATATAATTTGCACATTTCTCTTAGACATTAATTTAACAGAAATTTAATCTAAAAGCTTTAATAAATCAGTGTGAAACATTTTTAAACTAGAATAAAATTTCTACGAGACTTGTTTATATAATAAATTTAAAATAGTTGATAGTTGATAGTTAAAAAAGACTTAAATATCGTATTGTTATACTTTCCTTACCGCACGCACGCGCGAACATTATATAGCCGTTGTCATTCCGATACTCGTAGAGACGAGAGACGAAGAGGGCCACGTTGATAAACATGAACAACGAAATAAAGGCGATAAAGACGTAATTATTCTTCATGTACGGCTTTGTTAGTTGATATGGACGAAGGGAGGAAATCGTCCGCAAAATGGATTTTGGCTTTGATTTCGGCTGCGGTGGCACCAACCATCGATCTATGCTGCGATTATTATATTTTTATTCCTTACGTTTAGTATTTGCTTTAAGAATTTGGAATTTAACGTGATAATTGAAGGCGCATCGAGGACTTAATTATGAAAATTAACTGACAATGAGCGAATTTGCTTTTTCAATTCTTAGAATTCCACAACTCTGTACTTGTGAATTCTTTTTACATTTTGTATAATTCTTCATCTCTAACCTGATCGAGAGATTTTCCAGCAAACCCTCGTGCTTCTCCAATTGCTTTTTTAGAGCTTCAAAAGTGATCGCTCCTCTATTTCCTTGATCAGCATCCTCGAAGAGCGCAATTGTCAGATCTTCGATTTGCTCGTCGCTGAACTTCATTCCATTTTCCTCCATGCAAGCTCTCATAACATGTTCTAACTCGCGAAGTTGTATTAATCCATCACCTTTTATCATTTAAAGAAATCAATATAAAATAAAAATGGTTTATACTTAGACAAAAATATCAAAATGTTTGAAAGACATTTTAATTTTTCACAAATACGCTTTAGTCTTTTAAAAGTCTTTGGAATATACATACTTTTGGCAAATTGTGCTTAAATCTTTATTTATATAATTTACTATTACTTGTTATTTTATTTATTTGTTACATTTTAGGGAAAATAAGTTCAATTTTTTTTTCATAAATATTTCACGCGAGTGAATAAGACTAGACATTACCATCGATATCATAGACTTTGAAAAGAAACCTAATTTTATCGTTCGGGGATTTTCCAGCGAATTGGTGCATGGCGTCCAGAAATTCTTGAAGCGATATCGTGCCGGAGTTGTCTTTGTCGAATATTTGAAAGACTCTCTCGGTAAAGAACGGCTGAAAGATAATAAGATAAATATTGCGCCCTGATTTATTCCTTGGCGAATAAAATTGATGTATTCGTTTTTTGATACAAAATTTTATCCACCCGACGCATGTATTCTGCTTGGTATAAAATTGGAAGAGACAAGCAATATCAATTAAAAAAGTTGAAATTACGACTTTTAGAGAAACGAGAAATTAGTATTTCGCGTTTGAGAGATGAAGAATACTTATGCCTCCAGCCTACGTTCTTCGAAGTAACGATCGTTTTGAATTCCTCACGGCGTATCTCTCCCTCGTTTCCGACAGTTTGCTTAAATATCTTTTCCAGCCACTCGAGATTTCCTTTATCGAAGCCAGCGCGTGGTCTGACACAAGATTTTAGTCAGGTAATACATAAAAGCTTGAAAGAGCTGATAAAACTAAGAAATTTAATAAAAACGAAAGAGCGATAATAATAAATTAATTTTGTAATAAAGCATGTTACCTGCTATTGGTCACGCCAAATATCATCTCCATGATTTGGGTGGACGTTACATATCCCGAATTCTCCTGATCAATTAACCGGAACAATTTCTCAACTATCTACGACATGTAATGCACATGATTTTCTACGTATCAAAGAATAAACATTTTTAAATGTTGTTTCTCGCTGCCGCGCTGCTCCGTATCTTATTTTCCACGCATTCTTTCGCGACGGTGATAAATTGAAACTCTCTCGGTCATCTGTTACGCTCGATTCGTATTCATCAATTCATCTAACATCTAATTGTATTGTTTCAGCGATCCGTGTAAATAATTATGTTTGTTTTAGATTTTTAGAAAACGCGAAAGAATAGTTTTATTTACTATCTACAATATCGCAACACAAAAAATTGCATAAAATGCGGAGTATTTGAATTAATGAGATATTCGCGACAATCGCGACAAATTAAAATAAAAAACACATTATGTAAAATGTTGTTCTCGAATCAAATCTATACGCACACTGATGACTTTTATTTTTAAAATGGAAATGGATAAGAAATTTGCAAACTTGTTCCAGTGTAAACACTTTATAAATTTAAATGAAGCATTTTAGATGGACATTTATTATTTTGTTTATTATCCTGTCTCACTTTGACATTTAGTTATATAGATAATTATTAATTTTTTTCACTTATTTATTTACTTATTTACATAAATGGATAGAGCAACTTACTCCTTTGGTATAAAAGATCTGTTGAAAATTGGCGAGATTTACTGGATTCTCTCCACACAGCACGTATGCGACGCTTTCGATCTGATCGATAAAATCATTTTGCTTCTCGTTCCTAATAAAAAAAATAAAAACATTTAATGAGACGAACATAAGTATACTTAAAGTTTATTATTAAAAGATTACGATACATGCATGGATGTTCATATAATAAAAACTTATTCTTACGTCAGCCTTCCCTTGAGGAATTCGAGCCATTCATCCTGTTTCAGCAACCCATCGCAATCTTGATCGAACAGTATAAATAATTTCCCAAGAAGCACCTGTGGAAAACATCGATAAATCATAAATAACAAACGTTGATTTTCTGTTGAAAGCTGTACAGGGAAAAAGATAAATGTTGCAAATTCTTAGAACAATTTGAAACTTCTATAATTAAGTCAATTTTATTTAAGAAAAACCAACACAATGGTATTTTGTTGAAAAAATTAATATCGCAGGCTGTTCGAGAGATTGTACATTTGACATGTAAATCGCCTAAAATGTGTCTCTTATTACACGTGCGCGTAATCTGGGGCAAAGTTAATATGTGATAATGGAAGCGTATTTATTAAAATTCTAGCCTCAGGTGCGTATGACGACGTCAACGTTAACATCGATATGACGCGTATCGATCACCATCGGCGTGGATCTCGACGGCTGTATACACGTATATATTTCACTCTCGATCGTTAAGAAATAGGTCAGTGTCGTGAGAGATTACACTGCGTGTTCCCTCGTCAAATACGTGGTCCAGAAACGTGTCCCAATCTCGTGAGATATGGTTAGCGAATATGATATATATATACGCCCAGGTAATGTCAGAACCATTTTTCACAACAGACACAAGTTTTAATGACAAAACTTTTTACAATAACTCACTTAAAATCACACTTAAACTTTCTTTTAAAAAAGATTTAACTACAGTCAAGTTAATTACAGAACAAGAAAGAATTAATTACAAAAATGAAAAAATTATTTACATTTAAAAACATTTAAAAAATTTACAAAGAAAAGTTTATTACTAAAAGGGAGTTGAGAATTAATAAAGTTTATTATGTTTGTGTATACGTATATATATAAAAAAAATTTCGATGATTTAATAAGATTTTTTAACACATTGCGAGTAATAAAAAAAATTAATAAAACAAATTGAATGAAATATCCAAATAAGAATTTTAATATGTCTGATTTATAATACCATATGCAGATAAAGACTGGAATTTTACATTGCATTTACAATGCTACGATTAATCTGTGTCCGGCTTTGAAAATAAGCCATGCGAGAGAAAAATATTAATGTCTCTAATCAATCATTCTTATAATTTCTACCTCTTGCATATACAGGGCAAAAATAAGGAGAAAGATAATAATTAATCACAGCAAATATATAGGCTTGATGTGGCAGCTTAACATCTTTGTGATATAATTTTAAACAAAAATATTCGATTGAAAGATTCATATGTTACTACTTAACATTAGAAACTTACGTTAAACTATATCGCGTACAATAAAAAAATATATTATTTGTTTTTTAACTCAATTTAAATTTAATTAAACCAAGTTGACTTTAATTTAACATAATTTGACTAAGTCCCGAATTTAAAATTGTAATTCCTTATTTAATTGGATTTTAATAAGAACCTTGACGTTTTAATCATGTAAATCGGCATTTAACGATGCTTAATCGATAACGCTTCGGCGATTTGCGCCGGCAGCGGTTAAAGGGTTAATGGATAGTTAGCAAACGAGGTATCGGTCCCGGTCGACGCTGTGCTCTGCTCTACGATTGGTCTCCACGATCGATCGATCGGTCCCAAGCGACCGGGAGGCGCTCGGGGCATCAAGGCCTGCCGCCCGGGGCGATCGGCCACCTTGATCGAAAAGCAGGGGCCCTCGATAGAGCCCCCTCGTTTGCTTCGATCATATCGTCACCGCCTCGGGTCTCCTTTTCCTACGCGGATTCTCAAGAGTGAACTCATTGCTCCGCCGATCGCGCGCGATCCTCTACAAAGGAGACGATTGTCCAGTCCGATAAATGGGTACACACGATACGAGATCGCAAATCTCAGTCAAAAGCATTTCAGTTCCGATAAGGTAAATCTCGTCGCAGCTCTCCTTATTCGGCAAAGTATCTTCTCATAATTGGAAGAGAGATGCCGCGCATGAATGGGCTTAAGTCTTCTTATTCTGGAGCAAAAGATGCTTAGTTCGCACTTCGCTTGTAGAAAGATAATCTTTAAATCTGAAGAAGCGAGATTGTCTCACTCTTACGATAAATAAATCTTTTCAAATCAAGGCGTCAAGTGAGTTTTTATTGGCTGTCTTAAACGAAATTGAAATTTTACGCCTTGATGTACACGGTAAGTATATGTCACACTTGTCAAAAAAAACCTTGCGCAGTCTTAAACGATATAATGACAGCGCTTTCCGTCGGAGTGTGAAATGATTGACTGGGTGATCGATTGTAATCTCATAGTGTCGATGTATGTGCGAATATGTGTCTTGATCTATTTTTTGTTTCATGTATGTTGTAAGTGACAGTTTAAAAGACAGTTCAATTCAGAATATAAATGCAAAAACCTTTTCTCCACGTTCTGATAAGCTTCTTTTGGTACCGAATAAGAAAAGAGTATTGCGTAAAAAATCTAAGAGAATTGCATCAATTTTGTTATAAAAGTTTTGATTTTGTGAAGAATAATTGATTATTGAAAAATTTAATTGTGTGAGAGAAGTTTGTTAGACAAATGGAATTTAATCTCTTTAACAATGTATATTTAAAATATATTTAAAAATTGATAAAAATTATATATAAAATATATATAGATATCATATATTCTAATTTTTTGAACAAACATATTTTTATTTCTTAAAATCTGCAGATCATAAAAATACGCTTATTCGATGATTATTCGGTGGCAATAATTTACCTTGCTTTATATAAGCACAAGAAATTAATTTTGTAAATAAAAGTTGAAATTGATAAATCTATCTATTTTTTGTCACTACTTTTTTATTTACTAAAATCTACAAGATTTTTATATCATATTTACTTATGATTTTGCTTCATAGTTATATTTGTCTTAAATAAATATTACTATCTAAATACAGATAAATCACGATAAAAAAAAACGATTGAAAAAAACCTGTAAATGCTTTTTAAAAGAACCATAATTGCTCGACAAACCAATATTCTCGGTGATGTAACGTCGACGCCGCGACGTTTCATGTTTAGTGCCACGCGAACCTTCTTTTTCTTCACGAAAGAAAGTGAGGCAGCAAGGCAATAATTACAATAATTGCAATTCTTCATGGCCGCTTTAAGAAAGTGCCGGGTTACGATCACGAGGACGTTCCTACCCTCTCGTTATAAACCTGTACTAATTTACTAGAGGGTTAGTAGTTTAGAAACTTTAGCGCCATGTGGTTTTGCAAACCGAAGTTTATATTCATGATATATTATCTTTGTGGCAAAAAGAAACAAAGTATTTTATTGACGTAGCTACTTTTTGCTTTATAAAAAAAAGTTTTGAAAGTTCACGTGGAAAGTAATATAGATATATATTCTACTGGACGTGAAAGGGTTAAATTGCTGGACCACCATTTTTATATCCCTGTCCTGAGTCTTTAGCTTGCCGATTTAATAATTTTTGCATTTAATAATAATTGCTCTCACATGAAATACGACACTTTTACCGGGTTTCACGATTCCTTTCCGAGATATGACGTGTTACTTACTTTACATGAAATGCATATCAAAGCTGTTTCGAAACCCTCGAAAAAACCATCGTAAAATTAATCCGTATCGTAAAACTCTGGATATACTTCTCGTATTTTATGAATAAAAGCCGCGATCTTTATTTTATTTAAAAAAAGTGACGATTCCGATGCTTTTATGTATTCCGAACAAGTTTATAAATATTTTACTTTATATTTATGTTTACGGAATTTGTTTATATTTGCGGGAACTCAGAATTGTGTTAATACTTAAGTTTCATTAATATTGTTTCTTCTACACAACTTCGAGTTTTTAAAAAATTATTATTTGTTTATTTTTCTCTTTTGCTGTCAAGAGTATTATTTACAATGTCTAACGAAAAGAATTGTCGAGATAAAAACAAAAGACACAGATCAAAACGTCGCCCGTTATAAATTTAATCGGATTACTATACTTCATAATATTTGTTAATTTTTCTACTCATATCTAGTTTCTATTGCAATCTATTGCGGTACCTGATCACGAAAGAGTTTTCTAAAGGCCTCTTTGCTGTAGCGCCCGGATCTTTCTTCCTGCACTATCTCCTTGCACTCCTTCAGAATGGTCGTCCTCCTCTTTTCGATCAGACATTCCTCCTCCATGCAGATGATATTCTCTTCCATGTTATTGAATATTTTTCACGACAAGCGCTACGCGAGAAACGAGGGTGTCACCGAAGAAACGAGATCACAACCACTTTGGCAATTCATCACGGGATCAACAAAATTCCTCGCATTTCTTGTCGCTCGCTATCTTGTTTGGAACACGAGTAATTCAACAGATCAGTCGTGTGATGTTTGAAAGGTTATATTTATAAATTTCCACTGTTGTGTTAGTTCAATGGGAATAAAGTCTACACTTATATTGTATATTATTAAGTTACAATTATAATATCACAAACAAGACATTTAGAAATTTAATTTGTTTTCCCCCGTTTACAGTTTAGCAAAGAAAGGACAATCGAGAAATCAATGTTTTAACGCAACTTTTTCTAATTATTTAATAAAAGCAATTCAAATAAAAAATACAATGAGATTATTATATATATTCAGGAGATATTACATTTCTAATAATTCTTACAAAAATGATATTAATTTTTTTGTCTTTTTTTAAATCTTATTTTTTCCTTAGCGCTTGATTTCACTTAAAAGAATACAAACATTTTTAGTATGTTAGATATTTAACTTTTAAGTTAGAAAAATATAAAAACTCCAGGCAAACACATTCTCCTTTATTTGAATGGCACAATTCCGGCACAATTTCTATTTTATTTACCTTACTTTCGCGCATGAAACTCGGAAACACAGATAACATAAGTATACATGAATACGCACTAGTTTTCTACCCCTTGCGACTATAAAATATAAATTAATGCGGCTGTTTTTTCGTAAATTTTTCTCGCCAAAAGAAATATATAATCTGCATATAATGTGTGTATCAGTTAAAGAAAGAAAAAAATAAACAATTTTTTTTTCTTTGTCACGTTTTTTTTTCCTTATCCGTGAACAAGGGTTTTCGACAATAGCCGGTAATTAATTAGGCGTGTAAACGGTCCTACCTCTCGGTACTTAAGAATGAGAGCTCGGTTCAACGTACGTATGAAAATTCACTTTATCGCCGCGATATCAAAACAAGCGAGATCGCCTTGTTAACGCGCCTCGACGTTACTGACAGAAGTTCTTGAATGAAAATCATCCTCGGGGCATCAACGAGACGCGCGGATGTCGCCGGCTGGCTGGAAACGCGTTGGTGCCGGTAAACGCTCGTATTGGATCGCAGGGCGACACAGGTGAGGGAACAAGAGAGGAGGACAGCGAGAGAGGAAAGGAGACGGCGATCGCGGGTTTTGCTGGCGATTCAGATCGTGTGGGGATAGAGGAGAGACACACGGACAACCTTTCACTTTTTGACAAGTTCTGGGTTCCTCCCCCCACCCCCTGTCGTAGCTCTCCTCGTCCTTCTATTTCTTGCGTGTGTTTAAAGTGTATAGATACGTCAAGATCTGAAGGCTAGTTTGCAAATAATGTCCGATTGCCAATGCTGGAATTAGATAACAAATATAAGTCCGCTGGTTGGAAAAAATTTATTCTCGTTTAACATTAGGAATAATCCTTTGCGTGAATATTATCTTGAATAAAGGTGTCCATTACATAAATATGATGATGACTTTTGGGAATCGTCATTCTTCTCTTTCACGTGCATAATATATTAACAACGCATAATAATAAAATAAAGAACAAGATTTATTTCGTTGGTATATGCGTCAAAGATAAATTATCGAGTTGCTTTTGAGATATACATGGTTGTCTTTTTGGGAATACCAATTTATTTTAAAAATTCTTCTTCTTCATCTGGAATGTGAGAGAAAGTTACGAAATCGATTCGACGAACAGCCAGAGTTTTACAAATGTTTGTCAATAAGTTTCTATCGTTCGCAGTTGCGACGCGCGCATAAATACGCAAACATTTTTATTAGTAATAATAATTTGTAAAACGTCGATGCCTGGTACTTTACATAGTAAATGGAGAATGCGCGTTATATTTATCGCTAATGGCGATAATTAAATAATTAATTGTGATAATTAAAACGGTTACTCCAACGACAATGTATGTACAATACCAAATACCGCTCGGATATTACAGTTTTCGTTAGAATTATCGCAACTTCAACCACGTTCGATCCATAAAGGTCGTCTAGAGATGCGCTTGCGCTTCCCGGAGCACCTGCGCTTTGGAAGTCGTGCGAACCGAGCCTTCGACGCGTTTTGTTTGCCCCTAGTCTCTCGGGGTAGGATCAACAACGAGCCATGAATGTGTCCTGAAAACTGACGCTCTTCTGAGATGAGCCTCGCGTCTTTCGAGCCGATTGAACATACATCAGTCTCTGGCAGAGGAACTCCATGAAATAGCCCGAGTTTAGTCCTGGCACAAGGTCTGGTCAAAGTAATTTTTTATTGACGATGTGTAATAATTTTTTAAGGTGATATAATACTCGCTTTATAGAATTTCGAACGTATAATAAATCTTATATCGTAATATTGACATGATATAAAAATGTTATTACGAAAATATAAATTTAGAATTATAAAAATGAAAAATATTTAATAAAGATTATACATTAAATATTATAAAGTTTTGAAAATTATTATTACAAAATTTTTTTTTAATTTTTATAACATATGTATCTTAAGAAACATCTTCTTTTTTTAAATTTATAATACATAAAGATTGACATTAAAAAACTTTTTAAATCTCGAACAGTCTGAAAATTAATGCAAATTTCATCGTGTGTTAAAAAACATATACTACATTATGGAATAAAAATTTAACTTGTCTCTTGCATATTTATAGATGACATTTGACGTGATTCGATTCACGAATATATTATTCTTCCTCCTTTGGAGCAACCAAATAAGATGTTACAACGTTCCTTGCACATTCAACACCATGTGCATGTGTTGGGTCCAGGATGACGATGATGATTTCACGAAGATGGATATCAGTTGTATGGGAGTTCCATTCGCACGATTTCCTGGTATGCAAAAGAAGACTTAATGTCACTATTGGTTAAAATTATTTTCTTGAATATAAGCATTTCCTTTAGTTATTTTATTACAACAGTAAACACTGTGTTCTTGTTCTTATATACTTGTCATTATTTGCATACTTTATCACTTATGCTTAGTGTGCATGCGTAGTGTGTATGCGTAGTGCATGCAAAAATTTCGAAATATAATCAAGCAAATAAAACAGAATTTATCAAAAACATTTCAGACGTATCGGTGAGCTACGTGGCGCAGCTAGATATTGCTGGATCCGGGATACAAGTTTTAGACAATGACGCACTTGCGAGTTCCGCAGGTGTCGAGGCACTGGGGCTAATGAGCAATCGATTATCCAGCATAGGTGATAAGTCTCTGCTGTAAGTTTACTTTTTTTTTCATGCATGCTACGTAACCTTATATATTTTACGTAATAAATTGACTGTGGGACAATGGTGTTTTGCTCAGATTAATTTATGATTCAAATCTTTCAATAAATAATGAATTTAAACATATCCAAATTTAATGTATTAATGCAATTATCTTGGAGCAAAACTCTGGAGAACGATGATTGAGATGTTATATCTTTAATGTCTTTTTTGTAAGAGGTGTTACGGACAGTCTACGTTCTCTGGATCTAAGCTACAATTCCCTTGAAGATGTGCCTTTCAAGGTTTTTCGCAATCTAAGGAAATTGAATTGGCTCAACATGCACAGGTATGTGTGACATATTTTTTAGTTTATTAATTAATTAATTATCACTTATTCTGAGAAGCTCTGTTACATTTTATATATCTTATCCAGTTTATGAAAAAATCGTCTATTTTAAATGGTGTCCTTCTAGTTTTTATTTACAAAAATAAAATATTATTCCTATTATAGTAATAATTAAACTTTTGTTTTATTTTGACTATATATTCTTATATTTACTACATTACTTTTTCTATTTTTCTTAGCATTCTAAGAAAAATTAGACAGATCAAGAATAACATTTTATATATAAGAAACTGTTGAAAAAAGAAATATTTTAATTATAAAACTTATTAATTATTAGTAATCATTTAACGTCGTTGGATGGCGACTGGGGCCACACCAAGGAGACTCTAACAAACGCATTCTTCGGCGATAACTCGATCACCGAAGTGCCCAGGGTCTTCTCGAGTTTCGCCACCCTGGTATGGCTGAATCTAGACAGCAACAACATCGAGGAGCTCTCGAAAGATTGTCTACCACCAAACATGCACACCTTGAGCATCAATAATAATCTCTTGAAAGAATTCCCACAATCCTTGGGTGGTCTGAAAGAACTAACTTGGCTTTATATGAGAGGAAATGATCTCCGGTATCTGGAGCTGCCGGATTTCCGCAGTTCCAATTTGGAGCTCATCGACGTCAGCGAGAATTCCATCGAATGGATGAAGACACCCACTTTGAGCAATCACACCGTCAAAGTCAGAGACTTTAATCTAGCCGGAAACAAACTGATCTCGTTGCCAGGCAGAATGTTCGATCGCCTCGAGACCAGAAGAATTCACCTGTCGTCGAACAGTATCAGAAATGTTGATAGGGAAGCGTTTCACGGTCTCGAGGATACTCTCGAATATTTGAACCTGGAGAATAATGATTTGCCGACAGTACCGAGCGCCGTCAGCCAGTTGAGAATGTTGTCGTATCTCTATTTGGCTAACAATGAGATTAGGAATATTTCCGGGGAGGCCTTTCAAGAATTCGCGGAGCATCTGAAAGCCCTTTCTCTCGCGACCAACAGTTTGGATGCGGTGCCTGTGGCTGCTTTGTCCAGGTAATTTTAACGTCATTGCATATGTGATCTGTCCTTTACTTTCATACTTTGATAATCTCGAGAAAAAAATTTTCATAACAATTAATTTCCTAGATGCAATAAAACAAAATTTTTGAAATAAAATTTTAGATCATTTGTTGATAATAAATTTATATTTTTACACAAGAGGAGTCTTCGCTATTTATAAATAATAAGTTTCAGAAATAAAAGATGTAAATAATTTGGTTATTTTTATAAAAGTTTTAATAAATTTTTTAGAAAAATGTTTTAATTTAATGTTTCGATAAAATTAATTAATTTTTAAAATGTAAATTATACGATAAAAAGACAGAACTACAGATAAAAAGTCGATCCATTTTTATTATTATCGAAAAAATACATTCATTGTATATAATTTGTATAAAAGTATAAAAAATAAAGACGAATAGCTACCTGTATTATAATTGGAGTGCGCGGAGTTTCGTATCGTATAGATAGATCGTAAAAAGGTCAAAATAAATCACACAGTACGGAGGTACGAATCAATAATTATATGAGATCCTAAAGCGCGGAAAGAAAGTTTGATGCAACGTATCTGACGATCGGTTTTCGAAACAGATGCCAGAGGCTATTGCACCTGAATCTCGGTTACAACAAGATCTCCCACGTCGAGCCGGGTGATTTCGAGTGGGCCGAGGACCTTGAGATCTTATTGCTCAGGAACAATATCCTGACGAAACTGAAAGCCGAGACTTTCAAGGGAGCCGGTGCGTCGCCTGTAATTTTGATTGCAAAAGTATATTGTCCGAAATAAGTAATCGCTATACGTCACGAAGAAGTCAATGATACGGAATCAAATCGCACATTGCTCACGCGCTACCGAAGCGCACTTTTCATGCAAATGTTATAATTATAAGCATGCGAGTTTGTCTTTAATAGAGCTTTCTCTTAGGTAAACTAAAAGAGCTCAGCCTGTCCTTCAATCACTTGACGGAACTCGACGACGACTGCTTCGTCGGTCTCGAGGAGAGCCTGGACATTCTCGAGCTGAGCTTCGCCTTCGCCACGGACGTTTTTCCGCAGCGCGCCCTCAGGCCACTCTCGAATCTCCGCTGGCTGGTTTTGGACAACAACAATTTCCAGACGATCGAGGCGACAGCCTTCTACTCCTTTCAGCAGCTGCGCTACGTTAATATGGAATCGAACAGGCTGCATTACTTGCCCGAAAGGATCTTTCTCTCGAGCGTGCACCCGGAGTTAAGAGACGTCAAACTGGGATACAATTTTCTGGAGGCGATACCGGAGTCGAGTTTCCACAATCTGACCGAGCTGCTGTCACTCGACCTGACCGGCAATCGTATAAAAGTTTTGGCGTCCGGCTCCATCGTGGACTGTCCAAAACTGGTGACCATATCGTTGGCTTACAACCGGATACAGAAGATGGAGAAGAACGCGTTGTGCGGCCTGTCCAGCTTGCGTTTCCTCCATTTGGAATTCAATAAGCTGACCGTGCTGGACTTGGACGCTATCGCGGAGATCGGTGGCTCCGATTTCGCCCTGAACGTTTCCTACAACGCGATCGCGTCCGTCGACTCGGGATCCATGATGAACAATCTTACGAGATTGGATCTCGGATTTAATAATATCAGCCATTTGCCGGCGAACACGTTTTACAGAACGCCCGATTTGAAGAACTTATATCTGCAGAACAACTTTCTCGCCACGATTGATCCTGGTGAGAAGATACACAATCGTTCTCTTCCTTCTTTTTAATCGCGGAAACCGATTCTCAGCAGTTTTAACTCTTTTTATCGAAGACGCGATATATTTAGACTTGCGTTTCAAGTTGTAAAAAGTATTCCTTTGATTCACAAATAATAAAATTGTTAAGTGACTGTGATATATAACGTTTCAGGAACATTCGCGTTCCCTCACTTGGAAACTCTGGACCTGAGCAACAACAAGATAGACACTTTGCGTAAACAGTCCTTCCACGGTTTGGAGTCCCTTCAGTGGCTGAACCTCGGCGGAAACGAGATAACGCAGCTGTCGACGGAGCAGTTCAGGAATCTGAAAAGTCTGAGGATCCTGATTCTTTCGAGCAACAAAATTCGTTCGTTGCCGAAGGACGTTTTCGAGGGCACCAGATTAGAGATTCTCGAGCTCAGTCACAACAAATTCACCGTCGTGCCCTCGTCGTCGTTCCTGGAAGTCGGCTATACGCTGAGGGATCTCAACATGGCTGAGAATTTCCTGGATCACCTTGACTCGACCGCTTTCCCGACTTCTCAGCTGGTATCTCTGAATCTGGCGCAAAATCGTCTGACCATTCTGCCGGATAATTCGTTCGTTTCCCTGGGAAAATTACTGAGCCTGAACGTATCTCAGAACGTTCTCCAGGCGAACTTTAAGGAGTTGTTTCATTATTTGCCAGATCTCAGACATCTCTATCTGGCCAGTTGTGGTCTCAGAAGCGTACCGCTCCTACCATTGACGAATTTAAATATCTTGGATTTGTCTTTTAACAGTGTCGACGAGACTACCGACAAGCAGTTTCAATATTTGGAACGTTTGAAGATTCTTTTACTGGTAAATAACTCGTTGACGTTAATGCCCGGTGTTAGATTGAGCCTCTTGAGGGAGCTTGATGTTTCTGGCAATCCTATCGAGGTTAGTTAAAATTAAAATAATCAAGATAAGTGTTTTTTTTTATTATTATTTTTAAAGAGAAAAAATTAAGAACGTCAATAATGAGTCTAATGTTTTTACAGGAACTGACGAAGGAGAGCTTCTCGGGCTACCCGAGATTAGAGAAATTAAACTTGAGAAATTTGAATCGAACCAAATCAGTGGACAGGGACTGTCTGCAACCTTTGAAATATTTAAAACACCTGCGAATTCAAACGTGGCCGCAGGCCGACGGGTTTCATCTGCGTCACTTGCTGTCCGGCTTGCCGCTTCGAACGGTCGAGATTCAGGTGACGGAGCACCTGCTCAAGCATCAGATACAAAACGTCTTCACGAAGCAATTGAGAGAGCTGACGATCACCGGAAACGATCTCGAGTTGATCTCCTCCGAAGCGTTCTCCACTATCGAAGGCGGGGAGCTGATATTGAGAATCAAAGACACGCACGTACAACGACTGCAGTCGGATATTTTTCTATCGTTGACGAAGAGATTGTCGCAGCTCACTTTGGACCTAAGGAACAATCATATCAACGAATTAAGTCCGTCAATAATTTACGGAAATCTTTCCTGGGAGACTGTGGGGACCAACATGGTGGCTGGTAAGTTTGTAATATGTAACAGAAATATAAATATAAGTGTTTTAATAAAAGACAAAGGAGAGATAAAAGGGGCCAACGAATTAAGCCGGGTGTACGTGCTAAGAATGTATTACAAATTTAAATAAATAATGTGACATACGTTCGACCTGCAATAAAGTCATCTTCAGTGCGCTATAATTAAAAACTAAAATTATAATAAGGTTTTAATAAAATAACTGATAATTTTTATAATGTAGTCCAGCATCTTTTTTTTTAAACAAAAATTCTTAAAGTCACAGTAATTAATGTGCCTAAAAATGTCATTGGAGGACACGTGCTAGCGCGAACGGTGATCTTTCTTCAGGTGGACTGCAGGTATCCGGCAATCCGCTCGAATGCGACTGCGAGATCGCGTGGCTGAGCCTGTGGCTGCGCCGGTGGCTCAGAGAGTCCCGGCAGATTCACACGGCGTCGCAATCCGACGCGAGACAACTCAGGACCATAGCCGGCCGAGCCGTATGCACGGAAACAACGCCGTCTTACTCCTCCGACAAGGTCCTGCTGACTTTGGGCACGCCGCACACCGCCTGCCAAGCGTCCGCCCTCAGCTCGGGCAATTACGAGCGGCTGGCGACAGCCTGGTTGGCCTTCGTCAAATTCTTCATCCTCGTTTTCATCGCCAATTAACTGTACGGAGTTTATATCGCAACCTCTCGCGATGGGCCTAGTCTTTTTGAAGTTCACGAGATGTGATCTTTTTTAATGTAAAGATTTACCAATAAAAGTAGTTAAATAATTACGAGAAACGCTTCTTATTATTTCCATGATTAATACTAAGAGAAGGATGTTTTTTCATAAAAAAGGAGAACGAGAACAGAGTAAATATAATTGTAATATAAAAATAATGGCTATTCCAAGAATTTATCTTTATTTACAAATGTAATTGTCATGATTTCACTTGTGCTTTATACAGATGGCGAGGGCAGAAATACACGAGAATGGAAAAAAAAAAATTCTTAAAAAATAGGAATAAAGATGTAGACAATAAGATACTTGTGGAAGAATGCGTAGATGGAACAGAAAATTCGTAAAGAGAGATAGAACACGTTGACGCGCGATGATAATATACTTATTGTTTGCGAATTGATGAACGCTTTCAATAAAATTACTTTCCCTAGACTTCCTCAACGCTTTTTTTTTATTTTACACAGTTTCGCGCACCGCGGAAAATTACTTTCGTTACTGCTCTTCGCTTTTATACGGGCGGCGCTTGCGTGTGATGCAAACAGCCCTCGACATTCTCCGGCCAGTCGCAGACGTTCTCGTTAGGATTAAAGACCAGGTTCACGGGACAGGGCATGTGATGCTTGCGCTCGCCCTCGCACATGTAGTACATCGTGCAATCATTCTTGTCCGCGTGATAAGATATGTGATTGTCCTCTTCGTCGCACGACACTTCGTTCGCTGCAAAATTTATTTTCACGATCAATTCTTCAATCGTTTTGTCACCTATTCCTTACCCATCTTTTTCCAATTTCATTAATTTTAGAGAGTCTGGTATTCCTTTTGTAATATTATTTTCACGTACAATATTTTGCATTATAAAATTGTCATTCTTATCGTAAAATTTACGATGTTATATGTATATCGATTTACTTACGATCCTTAGTGGTGTATTTTCCATTTCTTAAGTTACTTTCGTAAGGACCGTCATATTCCAGCTTGACCTTATAGTCTTGCAGCTCCTTCTTCATTGCTTTGATCAGCGGATACTTTCCCGCTCCGCAAGATCCTCTGAAGTCGTCCATGTCAACTGACCAGATCATTACGCCTCCAAAGCCTTCTTCTTTAAGCCAATTCATCTAAAGGAATATAACTCAAGCTTTGTAAGGAATGCTTGCGTAAACGCAAGATATGTGTAACAATTAATGCGCAAAAAATAATATTAAATATTCTTGAGTAATAGTCTTCGAATGCATTAAGAATACATTATTATAAAGTTAAAAAATATACGATAAATGTTAAAATATTTATTTACAATAAATTTTTTGATAGTATTATTACTTATACTAATTTTTTCTTATTTTTTAATTATTAATTTTTATATCTAATTCAAATACCCTAAAGTTATATGCCTTGATAAATTTTTAATTATTATTACCTTGTTAATAAGACTTCTTTCGTCGTCGAATCCAACCCACTGATCTTCTCTGTATGCAAATGGTACTTGCTGCTCGCTATCCCATACTAGAGTCGTATTGTCTTCGTTTAAGAAGCTGCAAACCTATTTACGAAATGTTCATTTAGATTTCGTTGTGCAACATAATATAAAGATTATATTGCTTATAAAATTTATTGTGCATTCTTTTATCGAAAGGTTCGTAAAACATAATATACGAAATGTCTTAATTATTCTATTTAAATAGATAGAAAATCAGCGCACTTGAGTATTACAAAAAAAAAACAATATTGCGTACCTCATAGTAAGACAGAAATCCGGATTCGTTGGTGAAGTTTCCGGCCACTCCACCACCAGACGCTGGTGCCCCGATGTCGAATTTATCCTTGTCGACCAGGGTGAAGGATCTACCGTACGTTGGCATTCCGATCATAAGCTTTTCCTTTGGCGCTCCTTGCTTCACCCACTCTCGCGCGCTGTAATCCTAAAAATCGAATACGAAAAATTTCATAACAGCTCAAAAAGATTAAGGCTTTAGCATGCGAATATATTTATTTACCACTGTCAGCTTTTTCTGGTAGCTAGTAGCACTTTCCAAAGGATATAATGGGCTGTTGTGGCCAACTTGTCTCTCCCATTGGCCGTGAAAATCGTATGCCATCACGTTAATGAAGTCCAGATACTTAGATATTTCAGGGACATCGTATCTAAAAAAATAGAGCTGTAATCATCTAACATGCTAAACATTCTTACATTATAAAACTATAAAATAAAAGATACAAAATATTGTGTCACTCTTTTCTGTACTGCGTTTACATAAATTTTTGTCATTGTTAATCGTAACATATTTGCGATATCTACCCTGCAGCGATGGCTTCGAAACTCGCAGGCACCGCGGCCGACAAGATTAACTTCGGTTGGCCAGAGCTCTTTGCTTCACCTTCGAAAGCCAGCCTGAGTTCCTTCAAAAGATTAACGTAGGCCGTTCGATCGTCGGCTCCTCTGCAAAAAAAATATTTCAAAAGATTATATATACGTTACATATCGAACGAAATACAAGATACATTTGAGGCAAAGGAAATACCTTGGGTATTCCCAGTCAACATCCAATCCGTCGAATTTATATTCTCGCAGGAAATCGATAGCCTCGTAGACGAATTGGTTCATCCGGAATGTGCTGCTGGTGAGTTCTTTGAAGGGCGTCGAGCCGAATGCCCATCCTCCGATCGCAAGTAGAATCTGAAAACATTGTTGAAATATAAGCGACTGCGTTCAATTTCAATTATCTGTTTGTTCAAATAACATTATCATTATCTGTGTCCTAAGCTTCAATCATCTTCTTTTATCTATAATTGTTAGAAAGTTGTTTCAAAACTAAAAAAAGATCGAGAAGTAGGTTTGGAACCTCTAGTTCAGTTAACTCTCACAAGATTCGATTTTATTCGAGATGGGAATTTATAAAAATTCTTTCATGTTTTCGATAGGGCAGTGATGCGATAAAAATTCGTTGAATTTTTCAACAAAACGATTAGGTGATAAATACCTTAATGTCTGGATTCTTGTCACGAAGTGCGATCAGCCTCTTATACATTTCAGCGTCTTTGTCACTTCCTTCGGTAAGTAAGTGATCCTTCAAAGTAGCGAACGCGTACACCACGTGAGTGCAGAGAGTCGGGTCGATGTCCTCCGGACTAAATCGTCCCATTCCTGGCCTCTTGTGCGACCAATTTGTCAGGTAACAAATGGTCTGCGCCTCTCTTTCTGCCAATTTATAAAAACACTTTTACCATGACGCGGTTAAACTCTAATTATAAACGTTATCTCAATAGAAATAATCTTTCTCGATAATCTTAAAACATACGTGCTCATTAAAGAATATTTTATGTAAAATAATTATAAGAGTACAATTATAAGAGTATAATTTTATGATTTTAGTGATCCGACTTGGAAAAATTACCCTGGATCGGAGTGTTAATGACAAGCGTAGTCTTCTGAATAGACTTTTTCGCTTTGTTGAGCACTTCCGAAGCGGCAATCTTGTAAGGCTCCGGTTTCTTCACTATCGTCTCTGTGATAGTGGTAGCAACTGCTGACCAGTCAACGTCCTTGGCGTTGGAACCTCGCGAAATACCCCTAAGTTCCTCCCTCATCGCGCCAATCAGAGGATACCGAACATTCCCACCGCAAACGGTGCCGTTGAAATCGTCCATGTCGATCGTCCACACCATCGCACCTCCGTAACCCTTGCTCTTCAGCCAGTGCATTTTATTCCTGATCGATTTTTCATCGTCGAAACCAACCCACTGATCGTTGTACACCAGATAGGGTACCTTCATCTCGTCGTCCCAAACGTAAGCGGCACCGTTATGCAGCATCTCGCAGATCTGACATTAAAAAACGATTTTACTTTTATTGTTTAATTTTACAAATTTATTTTTATTTTGTGCAAATTTTTGCTATTTCCTAATCGAGTGGTGATACAACGATTAAAAATTGCAATTTGTATATAAAAAATTAAATAAAAGACTGCAACTTTAGCTGCGCTGATAAACCGGAGAATAAAATAATGTCCAAATTATTAGTTTGAATACACTTGAAACAAATTCGAACTCCTCATCCCCACGGTACCTCGTAATATGCGAGAAAACCAGACTCCTTGGTGTATTCGCCCGCCTTTCCGCCACCGTTAGCTGGAGAGTGTACGCGGAAGTTGGCGGAATTCGAAAGGGTGAAGGACCGGCCGTAGGTAGGCATGCCTATGATTAATTTTTCTTTCGGTGCGCCCAGCTTGACCCACATTGTGGCCGCGTTGTCGACGCTCAATTGTTTCTGCCATTCCGAATCCAATGACGAGGAGTACAACGGGGCATTGTGACCGGTTTCCCTCTCCCATTTCCCGTGGAAGTCGTAGGCCATGAGATTGATGAAGTCCAGGTAACTAAGTGGATGAAAGTACATTGTCAGTCGAATGCATTTCTGCGTATCGCGATTGAGACATGATAAATGCAATTAAAGTAAACGCGTCGCACTTTACATTTGAATTGTGTCTGAATCGCGTGCCCGAGAAAAATAAAACTAAATAATACAAATTATTTTCGTCCAAAATTTGTTAATTTACTATAAAATAATAATAAAATATTATTTACTACGCATAATATCACATGAAAAATTAAAGATTGAAATATTTGTGCGATTTAATTTATATTTAGTTTCATATTAATTTAATAATTGTAGTCTCGTATAGCCGTCTAAATGCAAATAATTATCATTTTTAGATACATATTTTATATCCTTATCTAATTTTTCGTTATTATACTATTATACCTGGCAACTGCTGGGACGTCATATCCACTCTTAACGTTGTCAGGTCCAACTGGTACCGCGGCGGTTAGAAGAAGACGGGGTTTCTTTCTCTCTTGCGCCTCCGCCTCGAAAGCCTCTCGCAGCTCTGCGGGAAAATGATGAAAAGTAAATTCAAGCTGCAACGTGACGGACATATACGCGCGACGTACGGCGCGCGCGAAGAGTGGAAATGTCAAGTGGCACGTCGCACGTTGAACTCGCGTAATCCCGTACGGAGATAAAACAATAGGCAATAACCGCCTTATCAAGATTTAACGTGCGTCTGACATTTCC